TGTAACTTGACTATTCACAGCTGGAATAGCTATGGATTTGTTATTTGTAAAACATCCATGAATTTCACCACAGGCCTTTCCAGCAATGTTGAAGCATCTGTGAATCAAACTGTTCCCCAGCTGTTCATTCACTACCTGCAGGTTCCTCTAGCATAAAGTCGCCATTAATACCGATGGTTACACTGAACCCCTGATGAGCTCTTACAACACTGTTCCCCTCAGACTACAGTTAAAGGCAATAATTCCAAACAAGAAAAACAGTATTAATTCTTCCAATAAAAAGTTCTTGCCAGTGTTTGGAGTGACTGCCAGTGTTTTGGTGGCAACTATCCATGTTTAAATCTAAACCCCTTTTTGTTTCATTCTTCTTTCACTAGGTCCTCCCTTCTAGGCAGAAACTCCCATGGTTATTTCCCATGAAAAGAATAGGGAAAATTTCCATAGGGGAGGAGGGGAAGATTCAGAAGCTATGAAGAATTACAAATGCCAGACAAATGGGTTTTTTTTAAAGCTTATCTTCAAAAGCACAATTGCTTCAGGATCACTTAATAAATAGCCTTATTAATAAAACCTTAGAAATTTTAATTTACTTTTGCAGCGACATACATTTTAGGTTTTAATTAAAAGCTTTTAGTGATAGTTATTTGAATCACTGCAGTCACTCTTTTTAAGAAACAGGTTGCAATTATAAATCATTTGGTAAAGATTATTTGAGTATATTTTTGCTTAAGGGAAAAAGAAAGAAAAGACTTGGAAAAGAATGAATGCAGCTACAGTTTTTGATAACTTTCCACACACTTGCAGAATATGACTACATCTATTTAAAAATGTATATGTAGAATTTATTAAAATTAACAGCACCAAATCCTCTGGATGCTTACCCAAACTGCATACATTTCAAAAGTTCAGGCACTTCCTAGATTTCTTCTGTGACTGGGCATCAAGCTGGGCATTTTCTCAGACCAGATTTTCTTGGAAGACTTTCCCCTCTAGGACAGGAATAATCCTATAAGTAAAATGCTTCCATAATAACTCAGTGATCCTACTCGCAGGAAAACAAGGGGTTTGAGCCAAAGCTCAATGAAATTAATCAGAGTTTTCCCATTGACCTTGCTGGGGTTTTTTAGATCGTGCCTACATACAGGGAAACAGAAAATATATGGGGAACAGTGCTGCTAGATCTACTCAGGTTAATTTTGTCCAGTGTTTCCTATTATAACACTCTTTTGAGTTGTCTCTAAGTTTGCCAAATGTTAGCTGTTCGTGATGAAATCTTGTATGATGACTGTCTGGCTCAGGTAAAGATTTCTGGAAGGTTTCTGCAAAATTTATTCATCTGATTTGGATATCATGGTCAGGGAAAAAGTAGAATGTTCTGTTGAGAAGTTTTTGGACTTCCATGCCATGGAGTAAGAGTTTCAATTTGTCTATGGTCTTTGTGTCAGAAATGTGACTAGATTCTCAGAGAACTGAAAAAAAAAATTTTAGACATGCCAGTGACATCCTGATCCTATTGATTTGAATGGGGTTTACATTATTACTCTCTATTTTGAGATGGATTGGAGATTATCTAGGAAAAAAATCTCTTTACAATCAACCCATTTTCATTGTTACTTCAAACTATGTGATGAAGGAAGTATAAAAGTCAAATTCCTAATAGACATTAGAATTATGTTCTTACTTGATTCTTTACCAAGGTGAATCTGTTACTAATTAGCAGGGATCCTGGTTTTATCTGTTTAAAAACAACAAATTATCTGACTAAAAAATCCATTGCAAATTCTCTGATTAAAAACCCCTGAATCCGCAATTATAATGAAATGACGCGCGCGTGCGCGCGCGCGCACACACACACACACACACACACACGTGTGTGTGTATGTATATATTTGAAGACTGGTTTATTGATATATATACAATTTTAAAACAATTTGGAAGCCTACCAGTGCCTCAATCACTATAATAAAATAAATTCTAAGTACCTATAAATTTTGGTATTTGATATTGGGTTTTTTATCATGGAAAATCAGAGCTCCCCTTGCCCCCTTACTCACCAGAAACTCAGGTCCATGCCTCTCACTCCCCACCCGTAGTCCTTCAGCCCTGCTGGTGCCCCACAGGCCCCTATCCCCCCAGCCCTGCTGGAGGAGTCCCCCAACTGCCAGAGTTATGGGGCCAGGAACCCGGGTCTGCAGCCCCCTGTGTCCCCCAAGCCCTGGCTGCCATGGTGGAGCAGAGCACAGAGCCTGGCTCCTCCTCCTCCCCAACAGGCAGCACAGCTGAAGCAGAGCCCATAGAGGGGTGGGAGGCCTGCTGTGAGCTCGGGCTCCCCACCTTGCTGCCCACCCTTGGGGCCTCTACAGCCCACCAGGTGGGACCCGGCGTGGCAGAGCAGAGTGGGGCCTGGTGGAGAAGCTCAGTTCCACCTTTGGGAGCTTTGTGCTGCCCAGGTGTGGTGCTCCCTGCCTTCCTCTCAGCAGCAAGGGGCACAACTCCATGCCGCCACTCCCGCTGCTGCTGAGCGGATGGGGGGGTGCTCCACCAGGGTGGACCAGGCTCACAGCTGTGACTTCAAGCTTCCCTGCTTCACTCTGCCCTGCTGCACCAAGTCGCACCCGCTGGGCCATGGAGGCCCTAGAAGGAAGGCAGCAGGGTGGGAAGCCTGAGACCAAAGTGGGCAGCCCACACCCACCCCATGCACAAATCTGGGGGGCATATGTCCCCCATTGCTCCCCGGGACTATGCACAGTGACAGGGAGCCAGCCCTCCCTGCTGTTCCCCAGATGAGATGCCGGCCGCCCTATCCCACTCCCCACTAGGGCCCTGCAGTTGCACATGACCCCAGGCTCCAAGCCCCGTGCATCATCCCTGCTGGGTAGCATCCCCAGCCCCAACCCCAGCCTTGGACAACTCCCTCCCTCCCTGTAGAGGGGCCTCAATCCCCCTCCCCACCCTGTACCAGACTTACCTGCAGGAGCTACTCTTGGCTATGTGCATGTGTGAGGAAGCAAGTGGCACCCCCTGCCTGACTGCCCTTTTCTTGCTGTCTCAGGCCCTTGCAGGCTGGAACTCTGCCAGCCCCCAGAGAGCTTTTTGCAAAGTGGAAAATCCATGTGTTTCTCCATTAAAATCATAAATCCACATTTTTCTTGGTTAGAAGGAAAAAATCTATGGGTTTTTTTTCCATTTTCCATGGGAAATGGGAAACCTGGATCCCTGCTAATTATTAAAAAGCTTTACTTTACACTTTCTCTATATATATATGTATGTATATAAGTAGGGTCGAAGTGATAGAATTACAATCCTCTGTGATATATCCATTGAACCTCTAGATAAATAGGCCAATCAAACACCAATTCCCAGAAAAAATCATTTGGAACCATATTATAAATAATAATATTCATCCAAAGATTTTGACAGTGTTTTAGACAAATAAATAATTCTTAACTCTGTTTTACAAACCCAAAATCTAGCACTGAGTGGCACTGTGAAGAATTAGGCATGTTCACTGGTAGGATATGGGGTTTTTTTCTTTTACTTTGTGCAGGGGTGACTACTATTTTCTGAGTCTGGGGGGACACAATTTGAGAGTGGGCCCAGGGGCGGGCCAAAAGCTTCGAATCCACTCCTATACTTCTGTGCCGTGGCTTAGTTCCCCCCCTGCCCCCATGCTGCCGGCTAGCCTGCACAGCAAAAAAACTGCCCACCCTGAATGGTGCTGAGTTGGGAGACAATCTTAGAGGGGGCACATGCCCCCTCTCTTATCCCCCCTACCAGTTGCCTGTGCCTTTGGATTTTTTTTTTGTATTTGCCTAAATGTGTTGTACTATCTCAATCTATGTTTGACAGTGCCCAACTTGTAATCCAAATATGTTAGTTCAATTCTAAGTTCTTCGTTGCTTTATGCTTTCATTCAATCTTTAATAATATCCAATATAGCCTTTGTTGCATGTCCTATGCAAGAGACTTTTTAAATATAGGTACCTGGGAGGGAGGGTTGTATGTTTGTTTTGTTTTAATTCCATCTTTAATATTAATTTTGATGCTTATAACTTCAGCAGGCTTCCAATGTCACTATTTTTTAAACTAGGTTGTAATGCCTTCCCAAGATTAAATTACTGATGAAGGCATATAACCAGAAAGGACATTTCAGACCTATTCTTAAAACCTAGAAAAAGATGTTGACCAAATGTATAAAATATACCAGTTTTGATATCAATAACATGATTTCTTTTTCTGAAAATTAATATTTGTGTTGTGTTCTTTGGCATTTTACTTTTGCACTGACATGCCTATGACCCTAGGATTATTTGGATCATTAGCAGGTTCTGGCTACTTAAAAGTAATCCCAGATTATTTTAGCTAATCAAGTGTAGTGTAGTGTAGCATATATATACATTCTTTTACATTTTTCAGGGCTATAGACTTCTTGCACCATGGAAGTCAGTAATAGGAATCTTAACTTAAATTCTGAGAGGGACTTAAGGATTTCCACTAATTATATAAGTAGGAATCATTCAAGGGAATTCAAATTACTCTGCTTTGGTTTGAAAATTATATTGTGAATTGAAGTAGCATAAAAATGTAGAGGAAATGTAGACCAGGCCATAACAGGTTCTCATGTGTGTGAATGTTTGTTTTTAAATGGAGATGTGTTTCTTACTTTTAAAGGGGGGAAGAGTCTTTAAGTTTTCTTCTGAATGTTGTTGTCTTTTCTTCAGTTTTCACCACTGTGAGTATTACTATTTTCATTCAAGGTTCATCAAATAGTCACTAATGATTATGCTGATCTGAGTTTCTGCACTTGTTTTCTTTTCCAAAATATCCCGTTACAAAAGTTTTCACATTGCTCAATGAATCAAAGCCAAACAGCATTGCAATTTACTACTTTTAGAAGCTTAGGATCCTTATGGAGATGGCAGCATCATTTTACAGGTATTGTTAGACAAAAAAAATCTGGATATTAAGCCATTATTTGTACATTAGCAACTTTTCCCCAGGTAGGATTTATCATTTCAAGACATTTTGTTTTGTGTGTTACTCCTTTTTTGTCTAATCACCTCTAAAATTATGAACACTCTAAGAATAATACATTCTGAATAGCAAAACAGCTTGAAATATTCATAACTAAGAATGCAACTGGTATTGCTCATAAACAAAGTTGTTTGGAGACCCCTTTATTAATTTTTAATTTATTTTCAGTCAATTCCTTATTACTTCCAAATTCCTGTAGGGGATTCTGTTAATTAGTCATGTGTAAAATATTCATTAAAAACAGCTTCCTATTTTCTTCTTTTATTGCAAATTTACATTTCTAATCTTATAACCAAAATAAATGCCATTGGGTAGAGGGACCATATTAATTTTGATCAACCTCTTGAAATAGAAACCCACACAACAAAAGATATGGTAATGAAACCACAGTAACACTGAGATACCATGTAGTCAGAAACAGGCATACAAATATCGAACTGTTACCTTACCGAGGCAGTTGGAAGCAACAAAAATCAACATTAGGAAAAACGTAGACGAAAACCTGCTTTCACCAATATTGTTATCTTATGCTGAACGCTGCCCCACTGATGTTGATTGAGTGACTTAAGCTATTACTTAGGAAGAGTAAATGTAACATAACCAAGTCCAAAGAAAATGGATTTAGAAAAAATATTTTTTTTTCTTCATATAGTTGTTCAGTCTCACTTCAGTTTACCTGATAATAAAGTTCAAGAAGCTTAGTCCTGCGATTTTGTAACTGGAGTTCATGTGGATTTTATTTTTCTTTCTTTTGCTTTGCCATGTGCCTCTCTTCTGTTCCTGTGGGTGTCCATTTTCTGGTCTCAGCTCAGTTCCTGTGGGTGTCTGTTCTATATAGAGAGAGGGACAGGTAGGATATTAGTACTTCTTTCTCCCATTCTTCTTCAGTCTTGTGGATTAGACCCTGATCCGACAAATCTGTATTCATATATTTAGTTTTAAGCCTGTGATTAGCTCAACTGAAATGAGTAGAATTTCTCCAGCGCTAAGAAGTTAATGGTGTGCATATGTATTTGAAGGATCAGGGCCTTAGATTGATAGCATTTAAAGGTAGGGAGATGGAGTGTCTGACTACGTGCTTGCATGGTGTCTACAAATATAGGGCAGCCGTCTTAGTTGGTTGCTGTCATTTAATACAACCTAATAAATTACTGACCTACCTTCCATTGCCTTGTAATACAATGGTTTATCACATTCCCACCCACATAGCTGCGGATAGGAAGTATTTTTTTTTCTCAGTTGATTTTTTGGCAATACAAAAGAAAAAGAAAAATGTACCAAAAAAAATCCCCCAAAAACTGTCTGCAAAAAAGTTCTGTATGCAAATCAGAAGCCAAGTCTGTAACCTGGCGAAGATCTGCAAAAAATGAGGGGCTATTTTTTTCTCTCAACAGGGCACATCTCCCACTGATGTCAGGCATATGGCTAATTTGCTAAAATAAAGCCAATTTTGTTTCTTTTCTCTTTTGTTGTCAGGATGGCAGGCAGGCGCTCAAAGAGAAAGTGTTATTATTCTTGTTCACCTTCCTAGAGAAGAGATATTAAAGAAGCAGGGAGAAGTGTGCTAGCAACGGTACCGACTGTAGAGTAGCAACTTTTAAAAGCATAAGTCACAGAACCAGGCAGGCCAAAGCTGAAGTGTTCACCCTTTCATTTCTTTTTTTATACTAAATAAAGAAGTGATTAAAATGTCCTCTGCCAGGCAGCAAAAATGGGAGGGGTGGAGGAGGGGAAGAGAGAAAGAACTGTATATAATAGAAGGGGCTGGGATATAAAAAAAAAATCTGTAAATGTAAAAGGAAAAAATTGAAAGTGTCTTCTGAGAGCAGAAAGACTGCTGCCTCAAATGCCAGCAGATTCAGTTAGAATCGCATGAATGCAGCTTTCCACAGCACAAAAACAAAACCTTTTTTATTTGCTTACTAGGGGCCAAACCACCGCTGCTCCCATTATTTATGGATTTGGATGGTCCTGAACACAAAGGAACTGATTCAATCCTACAGCACAAAAGGTAGGCTTCATAGCACCGGCATGAAGGTCAGTGCCATGTATGTGCCATGACACACTGCTCCAATGGCTACCTTGTGCATTACAAAATGTGAGTAGCTTGGGAAGTGGTGGATTGGTGTCGGCTGTTAGATTAGCAAGGCCTTCATGCCTTCTAGTGAAATAGCAAACAAAAGATTAGCAAGGCCTTCATGCCTTCTAGTGAAGGAGCAAACAACCCCCAGGGGCTTTGTAGCCTCAGCAGCAGTAACATTCACAAAGCATCCTAAGAGAAAAACATCTTTCTCCCCCCAGCACACGCAGACTCTCAGGCTAGTTATGCACTATTGCATTCTCATCCTCTGAATTCAAGCCAGTGCAAATTAATGCTGACTGAAGTGCTATTGGCAGTAGTGGCTGTCAAAAGCATGCTGCCAGATGGCTGGTACAGGGCATGAGCCAATAAATTCCATTTATCTCCCAGAAGGTGAATTCTGAAGACCCTTAGTCATACAGTTTTCCTACAGGAAAACTTTCTCTCTTTCTGATGCCATTTTTCAAACAATGCACCATTTTTACAATGTACAATGTATAGAATGGCTTTGAGACCTCTAGTTCTGCCAGAATAGTCAATGGAGTTGATTCTCCAACTTGCTGCATTTTCATGTTGTTGCTTGTCCCTTTGCAAAGCTGTGGGAAAATGCAGCCTCTCATTTGCTAGACGTTTTCATGCACTTTGCACACATGGAAGTGACTCCAGGAGAGGCAAATAGATGAAAAATGTGGCCTTGGGGAGTCCATCCCAAAACAAAACTGCCCTTTTTCCTTAATGTCATTATAATGTGAACTCTTCCTTAATTTTATTCACCATTTTCCCACCTCACTACCTTAATGGTTTTCTCAGTGTTACTCAGACACATGCACTTACTTACAAGCTGTGATTTACTCCTTCCCCAGTGTGATCTTTCATTTTTTTACAAAATGCTCATCCAACCATTGCCCAATCAAGACTCAGCATCCTATCCCAAGTCCTTTTAAAGTATGTATCGTCAACACTTGAAAAAATCGACTTATTTATTGTAACTCCCTATTCTAACTGTAATTGCGATCAGTGCCAAATTAATCACATCCTCAGGGTCATTAAAGATTATGTTGAACAATGCTAGCTGGACTGAGCCATGACTCATGCTTGATAATACCTTATCTGAAAACTAATCACTATCCACCACGCCATCATCTTAACCCAGCAATTCATCTCCATTATCTCAGTGGCTCTTCTGATTACCACTTGATCAAAACATCTTGCTAAAATCAAATTAACTTTCCCTACTAGCTTTTCTTTGTTTTCCCAGTACCGTATGTGAAAAAAGCTGCTCAGGTGATGTTAGTCTGAGCTCAGCAAAGCTAAGTTGACTCTTGTGAGATGTTTTCCACTCCGTCAGTTTCCCATAAATGTATGCATTGGGTATGCATTCAGGTTCTTCACCTAGAGTGGAAATCTAGTTAAAAGTTTGACAAGCGTCTGAGTGGTCCTTTCTTTTAAACTGAAGCACTATAATTTTCCCAGCTTTTGGGTACTGCAGCACCATTTGCAGGATTTGTCATATAATATTAGTAATGGTTCTGCTTGTTTTTTATCCAAATCCTTCAGGCTTCTAGGATGTAGCCCTTCTGTGTCTGGAGCCTCCATTGTTAACTTTTGTTAAATATATGTTTACACTCTCCCTCCTGCAAATTGGTTTTACATTTTCCCTTTTGGTTTCTTGAATTGTGCTCCTAGTACATGTCTCTTCCTGATACTTAGCTATTAAAAGCTGAGGAGAAATATTTACATGGGAGTTTTGCCATGTCTAAGTCCTTGGTGATTGTTCTTCCTCCTCTCTCCTCTATTATTCAGAGGTCTCGTTTTATCTTTTGTTTCTCTTTTCCCCTGGATATATTTGAAAACTCTCTTATTTCCCTTCACCACTCCTGCTAACAGGAGTTGATTATATTTTTAAGCTTCTCATTTTTCCATACAGTTCTTGACTGCTATCATGTGTTTTAGATTTTTTTTTAATCTCTATCTTTTAAAATGTTTTATGCAAATTGTTCTGTACTTATTAAACTTCCTTTTTGAAGGAGGAGGGTTTTAATGTTTTATCTGAAATTCTTCAGATACAAAACCTACACAGAGTAATATGGTAAATAATGAAAAGTGTTTGCTACTCTTTACTTCAGAGCACAAGTTTTAACAGGAGACTCCTTAGGTCTCAAAGAAACAATTAAGAAAGTAAGTGTAAAAAAAACCTGAATTATTCTTAGAATAAGTTTTCTGAAAATATCTACAATAAGATGTAGTATGTATGGTTTTAGATATACAGAGTGAGACAGCATACACCGGCTGAGTGGACAGGCAACATGGACTAAGTGACTAGTGGGATTCTTATTTAGCAGTAATGTAATTCAGATGTATGTTCACTTAAATGCAAACTAAGACTCACAGGAATGAGGGTAGAATCAGGCTACTGACCTAATAGGCCTATGCCAATAGGGAAGTAATGGATTCGGATTCAGCCGATTTTTGGAGAACAGAGATTTGATTCAAAGATTCGGATCATTGTCCTGAATCGATTCGGCCAAATCAGCTTCAGAAGATTTGGCAGTGATTTGGATCAGCTGTGGAGAGGCAGGCACAGCTGGGCAGCTTCTCTGGCTGTGTCTACCTCCCCCCAGGTGGAGAAAGCTGTGGGAGAAGCCCCCATGGCTGCCCTGTCCGGCCCCATCCCCCACCCAGCCCCAGTCTAGTCCCAGCACCTTAAAAAAAAGAAAGCCCTGTAGTCACCAGCTGCAGCCATGGTGATTTGGGCTTCTGGGCATTCACGGCAGAGCCCCCCTGCACAACAGGGGGGCAGCGGGGATCGCCCCCCCCCCCACTGGCACCTATGCAGCAACTGCCCCATGGGCGGGTGCAGCACAACTCAGCAGGTTGCCATGCACTGCCTGGAAGCTGGGGCCGCTGGGGCTGAGCACTGTTGGGCTCTGGCAAGTGCCAGGAGGCTGGGCTGGGCAGGAGATGGGGCCAGGCAGGGCAGCCATGGGGGCTTCTCCTGTGGCTCCTCTGGCTGTGCCTGCCTCTGTCCCAGTGTGTGGAGCTATGGAGGCTATGCCTTGCTGCTGCTTGCCCAGGCGGGGGGGTGGTGGGCAGAGGCACAATGCAGGTGCAGCTTGCGCCAGGCAGCAGCAGGGCATAGCCCCCATTCCCAGTGCTACTAAACCCACATCAGTGCTGGGAGCAGGGGCACTGCTCCGTCACTGCTTGCCAGCCAGCATGGGGGGGTGGGATGTGGGCACAGCAGCATTGGGAGCAGGGACTATGTCCTGCTGCCACTTGCCCCCTTCCACCTGGAGTGAGCTGCTC